AATTTTGGAAAAATAAAGAATATATTCAAAACATAACTGACACCACCCAATTTCTTTTATAATTTTTTTTCTTCAATTTTTAGATGAAAGATTCCATTTCATTTCAGAGTTGATACTTCTGTTCAAATTATTCAAAAAATGTTTTCTAATTTCAATTCTTGGCCGAACAATTTGTATTGACAACAGCACCGGTCGATGTTAAGAAATTCCCCAATTACAACACACCCTATAGTGTCTTGTTGAAAAGCCTAACGGAACATCAACACGCGATCTTCATTGATTTGGGCCGAACGTTCCCTAACCATCAGTACTACAAAGATTCGCTTGGTGTGGGTCAACTATCACTTTTCAACGTTCTCAAAGCATACTCAATTCTAGATCCAGAACTTGGATACTGTCAAGGCTTGGGTTTTATTTGCGGCATTCTACTTTTGCATGTAAATATTTTTTTTATTATCACGTAAAATGAGTTTTTTCTTTTCTTCTCTTGATCACCAGACTAAAATATTCCATTTATTCGTTTCCAGTGTGAAGAGGAAGAGGCATTCAATTTACTGAAACACTTGATGTTCCGTCGCCAGATGCGAGCCAATTACTTGCCCGATATGAAACAATTCCAATTGCAATTGTATCAATTGTCGCGTTTGATCCGAGATCGACTACCGGAATTGTACAAATGGCTGGATGAAAATGAAGGTAATGATCTCGTTTTATTGCATTCGACACACGTGGATGACTTGAAAATGTCAACTTGAATCGAACTTTAATTTGGATTTAATTCAACTAAATCTTCTGTTTCAATAAAGTGTCACCAACGTTGTATGCAGCTCCATGGATCTTGACCGTGTTCAGTTCGCAGTTCGCGTTGGGTTTTGTGACGCGCATTTTCGGTACGTTTCTCATTGAATTCAGCAAATACAATGTATTTTTTTTTTTTGGATATTTCCAAGGTTGTACTACGCTTTCGTTCACTTCCCCACAGATTTGCTATTTTTGGAATCATTTTGGAGTGGCGGTGAAATTGTTGGAAATCCATCAAGATGAGCTTATGAAGCGCGATAATTTTGAAGACATTATGAACTACATGAAAACCAGTTTGCCCGACATTGATGCCAGTACGATGGATAAAATAATGAAAGACGTATTTACCATGGACATTAAAAAGCAACTCATCGAATACCAAGTGGAATACAATGTGCTGCAGGAGGAAATTAGCACATCTCAACACTACATGGAATCGTTGAATCGAGAGAAAGAAAACTACTCACAATTGGAATCAAAGTTGCAGGTAAAATTTTAATTTTAAATAAATGCTTATTTCGGTTTAACTGTACTAAATCGTTTACATTCTTCCATAGTTCACCGAATCGAGTATTGTGCAGCTGGAAAAGACACGTTCATCACAACAAACTCAAATCCAATCGTTGCAGATGCAAGTGCAAAATCTGGAAACGACTGTCGAAACATTGGGTCAATTCATGCTGCAACTGGTGGAAAAGAGTACCGAACTCGAAGAGTCGTTGCCAAGCGATGTTCAGCGAATACTGCAACAAATTGGAAACGTGAATGCTCAACGCAAGAAGCCAATTTTCATGGAACGTAAAATCGGTAAATCAATGTCGATGAATGCGCAGCTCGGTTTCCCAATGAAAATACTCGAAGAATTGGAAGGTCATGAGAATGGCAATGGCAAATCGAAATCCACCTTCTTCGAAAGTACATACAATCAATTGAGAAAACAAAGCATTCGTAATCGACCAAGTCTTCAAGGAGCGAAAACTGAAATCGCTTCCGATGAAAATATGCCGCCACCACCACCACCACCATCAACAGAAACAACTAAGATTACAGATACACACAAGACAAACGGAGAATCGGTGAATGGCGAAAATATATTGAAAGCCATGGTACGTAACAATGATGGTTTCGACAGTGGCTTTGCAACAACGCCATTATCGCCGAAAGAAAATAGCATCACGAGTATTGTTGAGACCATTCCATCTGGAAAGAATTCCATTTCCATTGAGCAAATAGCGGCCGATCATAGCAGTCATCCATTCGGTAATTGCGAAGATGTCAATTTCAAGTACAGTTCGACGCAGTTGAAATCACTTCGACCGATCCATCTGAGAACGGTCATCACAACACCAGCCATCGGCGTCGAAAAACACATCGATGGACGAAGTTAATACACAACAACAAACTTTATACAAATACTTTTAGAAAAAATTGTTCAGCCAATTGAATAAAAGAAAAAAAAAATCAGCTTTTTGTCTTCTTAACATTATACTTTCATCGCTAAGTGGCTTAAGTTAGTTTCATCGGCTTATATTTATAAATAGAGGAAGAGAGAGGATAGGTGTTGTCTTTTGTGAATGTGATTGATGTTTAATTTTGACATGGTAATGCATCTGAATGTACTTTTTAACTCTAAATTTTAATTTTAACGGCTTTTTTTTTCTTGACGAATACAAATATTTTATGAGTTTTAATGCTTTCTTAGTCAGAAGCGTGACAATGTTGGTATTTAAAAATTAGTTTTATTATACACAATAATAATCCCAATTATGGTAACGATATCACAAAGAAAATACATTGAAAAAAATACATGGAAATTTTCGTTTTTTTTTTTTTTAATTCTCTAAAGGATTTTGTCTATTAATAATAGCCAATTGTCATTATAATTCGGTTACAGTCGATGGCTTGGCAGTTGTTTTTCTTTTGGAAACCAATAGTTACTTGTTCGTTCTTAAAACAATTGCTTATTGCATTGAACATCAATAAAAAAGGGTAAGTGTTGCAGATTGTACAAAATTCAAAGATGTAACGCTTTGCTGGGCTTGTTCGCTCTCGAGTTGAATTCTAAGTAAAATAAAACATATCTCTATGCTTTTGGTAACAAGTTCAACTGGCTTGAAATGTCAGAAATTTGAGTTGCAACAGGTGAATAGTGCGAAAATCAAAGCATTCGTTGTTTGTTATACAATTATGTATTGGTATTTTAATAAAAAAGAATCAAATTGGTGTGACGTCCCAAAATATTTTCCACATTAAATCCATCAGATAAATTGAGTGAATAACTTATTTTGATCACGCTTGAAACAAACAAAAATGATTGACGCATTACATTGATGAAATGGTTTTATTATTAATTCGATTTTCAAAATATTTGGTGTAATGATTATTTTTGTCGATGGTAAATGCCAATTTTGATCTGTACGTTCATAAAAATAACTGACTCTTGAGAAACGTAATTTAAATTTAGCAATTGACGAAAATACACTGCATTGAAGGAGAAGTCCTCTTTCTTCATCATGCTATGAATAGAACGAAAAATTACTTTTTTGCAAAAGATTTACGCATGTTTGTTATGAATTGACGTCAAGCCTCGATGGTGTTTTGGTGAAAATGTTAGGTATAAAAGGAGTGCACAGCACAGAGCAAATCATATCAAAATTCATTTTGTCTCTTGAAAAGTGAATACTAAAAGACAACGTAAAAATGAAAGTTTTTGTTGTGATTTTCATTTCTTTGTATCTCGCCTACATCGTGCACGCTGGCGGCAAAGGTGGAGGCGGTGGCGGTGGCGGTGGCGGCAACGGTAGCAGCGGTGGCCACTGCTGTTGTCCTGGCAAAGATTGTGGAGATTTGGAACTCGATGATGTGGTCAAAGAACTTTTAAAGCTGATAAAAACATTGCTTTGCCTCCTCGGATTAGGTGAGAATGCGATATAAAGCCATTTTTCCCATATATTTAATAGAAATAAACTGAAACAACGCTTGGTTTCTTCATTATTATTTTTCTTGCATTTCAGATGATTTATTTCCAATTATTGGAAATCCAGGAGGACTTTTAAATTTATAGAGCGATTATCCACGGGGTAGAAAGATTGAAAAAAGATTCCGCTTATTCTTCATTCGAGTGTCTACCCCGTGCCAATAATTTACATGTTATATTCTGTTTGAAAAAATTAAATTCCCATTTTCAGCAATTGTAAAGCGAATTTTGGAAAAATAAAGAATATATTCAAAACATAACTGACACCACC